AAAATCATGCCCAGGAAAGGAGTTCTGGGACCTCGAAGACCACGAAGTGTGTAAGTGTTTGCTTACAACGACTTCCGCGGATTCTCCCCGGCACCCGTCCGGCATCTGCCCAGACCCCCCTGAGGAGTCAAGATGCTTTCTTTTGAGAGCATTAGAAACCTATCAGTCTTCGCTGTTGGGTAAATATATGCTCATGCGTGTATACGTGCGTAGTCAGTTGTAGATTCAGATACACAGACGTAGACGCCTACACATAATAGTGGCAAGTGCGTGCACACTGCCATACGCATACACAAAAAGTTGTACCTGTGTATTTCAATCGTCGGATACCCATGTATATAAACGTATACACACATGCACACATATACATCTAGACACAATTATACCTATACCTGCACATACACATGTGCAAACCTATGAATATGTGTGCAACTACAGATGTATATGTATGTTTTTACTGGTATATATATATATATATATATATATATATATACACGCAAGACTGCAGTGGCGCTTCGCGCCATGCACCTTGGTCCTTTGAGTGTGGTATGCAGGCGGAATAGCAGGAAGGTCAAGCCGACAATTTAGCGTTAATTCCTGGTGTCTTTTCCGGCATCGTCGCTATAGTAATGTGATTCGGTATCCTTCCTCCATGCTTCTTTTTCGTCATTTTCGCCATACCCTGCGCATTCTCCCCATCCTCCTCAGCTTTTTTTTGCGGAGGCTCCTCCTTGGAGAGCATCTGGGGGCCTCACAAAAATTGTTTCAGGCTTTCTTAAGGCCTTCTGGAGGCCTCCTGGGCGTATTCTGGGGGCGTCTGGGGGCTTCCTCGGGCCACCCTGCCTCCAACCGCGGTCTCCCTGAACGACCGGGTCACGATTTGGAATGCTTCGGAGTGTGTCTTGGGGCCATCTTGGGCCGCCATGGGAATCTCTCAGGGCCATCTTGGACCCGTGTTGTGTCGTTTGGGGCTCTCTTGGACTGCTTGGAAGCCCTTTCGGATGGTTGTGAGGCGATTTTGGAGCCTCCCAGGCGGCTTCGGACGCCCAGAAGACCGCCGTCTTGGAGCGTCGGGAAGCCGAAAAGAGGAGAACCCCCAAATTCACCAAAAAACAACAGATTATCCAGGTAAAGCAACCTAACAGCGATGTGTAGCAGCATATTTGGAAGCATTCCCCTTAAGATTCAGATGAGAATCCAGTTGTAGAATTCTGCTCTTCTCGCAGTCGTAGTCGCATTCGCGATGACAGTCGCAGTGGCAACGGCAGTCGCAGTCACAGCCTCAGCCTCAGCCTGCCTCAGCCTCAGCCTCAGCCTGCCTCAGCCTCAGCCTGCCTCAGCCTCAGCCTCAGCCTGCTTCAGCCTCAGCCTCAGTCTGCCTTCAGCCTCGGCCTCAGCCTCAGCCTGCCTCAGCCTCAGCCTGCATCAGCCTCCTCAGCCTCAGCCTCAGCCTGCCTCAGCATCAGCCCTCAGCCTCAGCCTCAGCCTCAGCCTCAGCCCTGCCTCAGCCTGCCTCAGCCTCAGCCCTCAGCCTCAGCCTCAGCCTCAGCCTGCCTCAGCCTCATCAGCCTGCCTCAGCCTCAGCCTCAGCCTGCCTCTGCCTCAGCCTCAGCCTGCTTCAGCCTCAGCCTCAGTCTGCCTTCAGCCTCGGCCTCAGCCTCAGCTGCCTCAGCCTCAGCCTGCATCAGCCTCAGCCTCAGCCTCAGCCTGCCTCAGCTCAGCCTGCCTCAGCCTCAGCCTCAGCCTCAGCCTGCCTCAAGCCTCAGCCTCGCCTCAGCCTCAGCCTGCCTCAGCTCAGCCTGCATGAGCCTCAGCCTCAGCCTCAGCCTGCCTCAGCCTCAGCCTCAGCCTGCCTCAGCCTCAGCCTGCCTCAGCCAGCCTCAGCCTGCTTCAGCCTCAGCCTCAGTCTGCCTTCAGCCTCGGCCTCAGCCTCAGCCTGCCTCAGCCTCAGCCTGCATCAGCCTCAGCCTCAGCCTCAGCCTGCCTCAGCATCAGCCTGCCTCAGCCTCAGCCTCAGCCTGCCTCAGCCTCAGCCTCAGCCTGCTTCAGCCTCAGTCTGCCTTCAGCCTCGGCCTCAGCCTCCGCCTCAGCCTGCCTCAGCCTCAGCATCAGCCTGCCTCAGCATTCAAAATGTGGCCCGGGAATGGAGTTTTGGGAACTCGAAGACGACGACGTGGCCTACAGTTGGCTCCGGGCATTCAAAATCATGCCCAGGAATGGAGTTCTGGGAATTCGAAGACCACGAAGTGACCTACAGTTGGCTCCGGACATTCAAAATCATTGCCAGGAATATAATTCTGGGAACTTGAAGACCACGAAGTGGCCTACAGTTGGCTCCGAGCATTCAAAATCATGCCCAGGAATGGAGTGTTGGGAATTCGAAGACCACGAAGTGGCCTACAGTTGGCTCCGGGCATTCAAAATCATGCCCAGGAATGGAATTCTGGGAACTCGAAGACCACGAAGTGGCCTACAGTTGGCTCCGAGCATTCAAAATCATGCCCAGGAATGGAGTTCTGGGAATTCGAAGACCACGAAGTGGCCTACAGTTGGCTCCGGGCATTCAAAAACATGCCCAGGTCTGGGACCTCGAAGACCACGAAGTGTGTAACTGTTTGCTTAAAACGACTTCCGCGGATTCTCCCCGGCACCCGTCTGGCATCTGCCCAGACCCCCCTGGGGAGTCAAGATGTTTTCTTTTGAGCCTACTAGAAATTTGGAGGCCTCTTTGGGGCCGTAGTGGAGGCCTCTTGGGCCATCTTGAGGTCACGCCGGCCACTGTTGTGCTGCCTTAGGGGGTCTCTGGGACGTCACCGATGACCCCCTTGATCGCCCAGGTGTGCTGGGAAGGCTTGGCAAAACGCACTGCGAGGCTCGGGGGGCCGCTTCGAGGCCCGTCTGGAGGGCCCCAAGCCCCAGATCCCGGGAGTCCGGTTTTTTTTTGGGGGGGGTCCCCCCGCCCAGGCTTGCAAAAATAGATGAAGAGGAATATCCAGCTACGTACGGCAAGTCCCGCCACTGTGCCAGTCCAGCATCTTGGAAGGCGACCGTCTGGGGCGCACAGGAGTCCGTGACATTTGACACCTCGTGCTCCGAGGCTTCTGCGTCGAGTTGGGCGTTCTTGTCGTCTTCGTCGTCTTCCTCCTTTTCTTCCGTCCTTTCTTGTGCTCCTGTGGTGCAGTCTTGGCGGTCCCTTGGGCCGCGTTGGGCCGTCTTGGGTCCCTCTTGGACCGTCTCGGGGGCCCTCTTGGCCGCCTGTGGGGTCCCTTGCGGCCGTCTGCGACAGAAAGTCGGGGGGCTCTCTAAGGCCGTCTTGGGCCCCTCCGGGAGCTCCCTTGGGCCAGCTTGGGGCTCTCTTAGTGCCGTCCTGGGTCGTCTGGAGCTTTCCTGGATTGTTTTAAGGCCATCTTGGACCTCAGGACCGTCTGTGGGGGTCTATGAGATCAATTGTGAGGCCTTCTTGGAGACGTCGGGCGCCGTCGAGAAACCCTCTGAGGCCGTCTTCGTTCCCTTTTGTTTGAGACCGTCTTGTGCCAGCTTGGGACTCTCGGGGGCCGTCCTGAGCCGTCTAGGGGCCTGCTGAAGTCCTGTTGCCGCTGGCTGTTGTTTTTTTTCCAGCGACTGTGACCTAGGAGTTCGGACCCATTGCTTTTGCAAAGGATCCTGGAGGGGCCGTGGCCTCGGGAGAGCGGATCCACGGTTTTCTTCCCGACCATCTTGTGGTGTTGGGTCCTCCTTTAGAAGACAGGGAGAGAGAGAGAGAGAGAGAGAGAGAGAGAGAGCGCCCCACGTCCTCTCCACTCCTCCTCCCCCCCCCCTCTTCCCACCCCCGCCTGGGCCCTCCGCGAGCCCATGTCGGCGCACCCCTCACATGTCGTGGCCCCGTATGGAGTTCCACCGAAGGCCCCGGCAGCACCGTTCGCAGGTGGGTGTCGCACCCCGTTCGGCACACCCCTCAGACGCTTCGTGGCCCCACACGGAGTTTCACCGACATCCACAGTGGCGGCGTGCGCAAGTGGGCGTCGCACCCCTTCTGGCACTCCGTCATAAGTTTCGTGGCCCCATAAGGAGCTCCACCGAAGGCCCCAGTAGCACCGTTCGCATGTGGGCGTCGCACCCCTTTGCGGCACACCCCTCAGACGCTTCGTGGCCCCATAGAGAGCTCCACCGAAGGCCCCGAGGGCACCGTTCGTATGCGGGCGTTTCGCATCTTCTGGCACACCCCATCCCACGCTTCGTGGCCCAATAGGGTTCTTCACCGAAGGCCCCCGTGGCACCATTTGCATGTGTGCGTTGCACCACGTTCGGCATGGGCACGCCTCCCACACTTCGTGGCCTCATAGGGAGCTCCACCGAAGGCCCCAGTGGCAAACTCAGATGGCGACCCCCCCCGTTGGCTCACCACTCACACGTTTCTTGGCCCCCAACCGCACTGCCCCGTGCTCCATCTCTCTCGCGGCGCGCTACCTATGAGAAAAGGGTCATATCCTGTGTCGCTTGCAGCTGCATATGGTCGGGCCCTTCGCCGGCTAATACCGCGGGATCGTGCTCTCGGGGGCATCCAGTGTTCTTTACGAAGGGTTGTCGCGTCGGGAGTGGGAGCGGTGCAAGCGCGTGAGTGCGCCGAAAGGGCGGGGTACAGCCCGTGACTCTATACCACGCCTCAACGTTCCATGGGACATGGCGCCGGGTATTCAGTCACGTTCGTCACAACCTCGAACACCTCTGCCCTCCCCTTCCAAGGTTATATATTGAGTCAGTGGAGCTCGGACTCCGCCGCAGGCGTCCCTGCGATGCTGTTGGCGATTCCTCGTCGCAAATCGATTGCCCACTCACTCCTTCACCGTCGTTGTTTCTCCTTCTCCCTCTCTCACTATTCCTTCGCTTCCTCCCGCTCCTCCGTCCTTCCTCCTGCTTCTCTCCCTGTGGGGTTCCTGCTGCTGCTCATCCATCGGGCGCCCTGCCACAGGGGCATCCTGCGCAATCGGATCGGCCGCCAGGTCGGCCACGCGGGAGTGAGATGGCTCGCCACTGCCGATCAGCTGAACAGGGAGTACAGAGTGAGCGACAACGCGGCCGCCGGGACGTCGCAAATGCATCGCCACACCATCCGCTCGTGCCCACGCGTTTCCTCCGTGGCCCCGGCTTTTCCATTCTTCATCTCCCTTGGCCCCTCTTTTCAGCATCCTCCATTCCCCTCCCTTTCGCACCCATCCTTCCTCTCTCCTTCCACGCCCTCCCGTCTCACCCTACCCTCTCGCCGTCACTCTCATTGTCGCCCTCTCCGTCCCATTCCCCTCCCCGTTCCCTTCGACCCTTCGTCACCTTTTCTTCTCCCCTCTCCTGCTCTCATGTCGTTTTCCTATCGTGCCGTCGCTTCCATACTCCCGATGGGCAGGCCACGTCAGACCACCACCGCAAGCGAAATACTTTTGCAAGTGACGATTCCCCACAGAACTGCGTCAACCAGGTCGCTTTACTCAGAACGTTTCGCTGGGATCCCTCATAATTGTGCGAGCTTCCTTGTTGGCTATGTGACGTTTGCCGAAGAAGGCAATTATGGAGATCTACTGGAGCGAACGACGGCCTTTGGTCCAAGTGTGTTCCTCGAGGCGCAAGCCGGAAGAGTTGCACCTTCTTTTCATCCAGCGCGTGGGGTGAAGGCCAATGTTGCGCATGAGGGTCCAATATGATGCCAGAAGTTTAGAATAATTGGTGGCTGCGAGGGGGGAAGAGGGGAGACTAGGTAGAGGAGGAGGAGGAGGAGGAGAAAGGAGGAGGAGGACGAGGAGGAGGAGAAAGGAGGAGAAGCGAGGCGAGCGGGGCTGGCAGTGGCGCAGTGTGTGCATCACTACAAAGTCTAACCGACCATTCATGTATACTTCGGCATCACACTACAACAGTCGTTTGAGGGAGTTTCTGTAGAACTCACGCCATCCTAACTATCTAACCCCCAGCGTGTGAGAAAGTCAGGGCCCCACGGACCATTTCCAGGGACTGCACTGGGCGCGCCAGGTGTGTCCCAGTCTGTGGCTCTCGCTCAAGACATCCTCGCAAAGTCGACCCCCCGGCGCGTGAGAAAGTCAGGGCCCGCTGCGCCCCCGGGGGCCATGTTCGGGGAGCGCTCTGGGCGCACCAGGCGCTTCCCAGTCCGGGGCTCTCGCTCGAGACATCCTCCCAAAGTCGACCCCCTGGCGCGTGAGAAAGCCAGGCTCCGCCGCGCCCCCAGTGACCATTTCGGGAGAGCGCACCGCGCGCACCAGGCGCGATGGGCGTGTCCCAGTCTGGGGCTCTCGCTCGAGACATCCTCGCATGGTCGCCGGATCGCTCGCCGACGGAGGCCCCCATCAGTTGGAGGAGGAAGAAGATGAGGAGGAGGTGGAGGAGGAGGAGGAGCGGAGGAGGAGGAGAAAGAGGAGGAGGAGGAGGAGGAGGAGGAGGAGGAGGAGGAGGAGGAGGAGGAGAAGAAGGCGCAAAAGGATGCAAAACCAGGAAGAAGGAGCAAGAGGCAGGAGGGGGAGGAGGAGACAGGATACGGGAAGACGCCGCCTCGTCCAGGACCGCGATCTTCCTCTGGGCCACCTGGGACCCAGTGGACCACGCAGCGCGGGTGGGAATTTCGGACCGCATACGCCAGCATGGTATGCGCCTACTGCCAGGACCGCGCATGGAAGCATTTAGGCGCTAGGTCACCAGACCGCGTCTACGCCAGTCCGCAACCTGTCCATGCCGCCAACTGCTGCGCCACGGCCATCAACAGGTCCGAACAGCGAAGTGGGCCCAGGGCCTCCGGCTCCATTGCCGTCTTCATCTGCGAAACCCAACCCGCACCAAATGGTTCGGGCGGCTCCCAGGCAACCACCAAGCCAAGCTCATCTATCCCAACGCCCTCCAGCACCTCATACGATGGGATGGTGCCTGCATCACACAGGCTTTTTCTACGATCAGAAAGCTGGAAGACGGGTGGCATACGGGATCACACCCATGTCATGTTCACTGTTGGGGCCACCGACGCTGACATCCCCCACGCTGCCGACGTTATTTATGCTGACGTAGCCAGGGGCACAACACCAGTCTACCCAGAGTGGCCGCGCGGCGCCGTGCTATGTTGCCCGCGAGCGGCCAGAGCCTGGCTGCCAAACCGCGACCATGTGACCAAAGTTGAAGGGGGGCTGCTCTCTGACGAACCGCTCCTCCGCCCGGCCCACGTGGGCTTCTCCTTTCGTCCCATCACACTGGGTGAGGCCCAGCAGCAACATCTGATGCCTCACTCTTTCAGGACAGGGACGGGCACCGAACCGAGCGAGGCCAAGCCACCGGCAGGTAGACCAAGAGCTCAAGCCGGCAGGACCACCCGGAACAGACGGAACACGAGCGCACCACGACGCGAGCCATCGCAGACGCCCTCGGACACGACCCCGAGCAGACCAACGGTCGACCAGACCATCGGCGCCATCTACAGGGGGCTCGCCCCGAAGGCGCGCATAGCACAGCGTGTATCCAGTACCGCGCGCGAGGGCCAGCGCACCCGTCACAGCCCACCAGGGCCCCTTCACAGCCTACCAGGGCTGCCGAGGAGGCCAGCCAGCAGTCACGCAGGACGCAACACCAGTGTGCCGCAGGGCCCCCTCAGTGAGCGGGCGCGCCAACCCTTGACACCTCTCAGGGAGAATGACACCTCTCAGGGAGAACCCGCGCCAGACAGGTTGGTGACGCAGGCCATCTCAGACGGCGAAGGCGTCGAGCTTGTCACCGAAACCTTTAGCCTGCACGGCAGCCGCAGCTACGCGGTCGACGTCGATCAGCTTATGGAGCAGCACCAGCTCGCTCTCACGGCACGCGCATTCCATGCCACCCAATGGGTCGTCCGTGACATCCCAGGGCAGGCTTGCGCCCCTGGCTGGCCTCTTTGCGACGCGCTGACGAGCGCCAGCGAACGACGGCTCCTACCTGCCACGTGGTGTCACCACACAACGGTACAGAGCAAGCCCCAGGACCTCGTGCAAAGGACGGGCGCCTTTAAACGTCAATGGGACGCTCCACTGGGCAACTGGCACATGCCCTGATCAAATTGGAACTATCCTCCAGACGCTGATGGATTAGGGGGTGCCAACCGATTCCTCTGGCCACCGGGCATCCGGGACCACGTGATCTGCCCCGCGCAAGCTGTCATATCCAGCTACAGCCAGGGGCCCGGCGCTTCGCGGCGCAGGCGAGCTAAGTCACAGGACGACCTGCCAGGGCGATGGGTCTGCCCTAACGCTCAATGCGCCTGCGATGCACGTCCATTTTGCGCACGTCACCTCCTGCATTGTCAGAGGGCGCATGAGCGCCCTGCTCTGCGTCTGGCGCGACGACCGACGCGTGGTCCAGTCGACGCCGCGGAGGGTACCCGGCCAGCTGATGGGTCGGTTCCCCATCGTCGCCACCGACTACCGCGGCGCCCCATCAAGGGCTTGCGACAGCACCATCACTTTAGGCCCACTGCTCCTGCCAGAGAGGCCGCTACGCCAGGCCGCGCACGCTTCGCGGCAGGATCGCGCTGTCGGCGCCGCGCCAGCAGGAACCCCCGAGGTGAGTGGGCCATCAGGTCTGCTAGCGGACGCGGGAGGCCACGCCCCCCATCGGCGGGAGCTCGACAGACGGCCGCTGGAGCTTCACTTAGCCCACCAGGGCGAAGCGAAGAGCCTCTCGCGCATCACGCAACCCTTCTAAATCTGATCGCTCTCCGCGAAGAACGCCCTGCAATCTTTGGGTGCCCATATTTTCCGGTGGAGGGCGCGTCGTCTTCCGCCCTGGCCGCGACGCGATTTCAGAGAATGGCTTGTCCAAGAGGGAGGTCAGACAGGCACGGGGGCGCGCGCTCGCAGGCATGACGGAAGCACAAAGAAGGACGGTTCATGCGCATGCCGGCGTGGAGGCCATTGGAGCAGCGGACAGATGGACTCACGTCGAATTCGCATTCCCAGCATTCGATGCCCGATCGGGGGCAATCATAATTGTTGCCGTTTCCAGCTTCGCGGGCCCGCTGCTGACGCGGCCCTCCACTCGCGGGCCAGAAGCATCAGAGCTTTTACATCCGCGGAACGCCCGCGCTGCGCCTGCATCGTGGCCCAAGGGCACGAAGCGAGGCAGGGCGGCTTCACGATCAAGGAGAACGCCAAACCGTGCAGACGCGAGACTTGACGACGGCCGACCACCGCCTGAACGATTTACGCTGACACCCAGGCCGCCCGGCCACTGGCCACCAGGCGTGGTCGACGCAGCTATGGCCAGAGCTAATTCTCCGCCGGGCGACAAAGCTCCGCTCGCCCCGCAAGGGCAATGGTGCTCGGGGCCAGGTGGGCCGCGCGCCGCCGCCGCAGAAACACTCGAGCCGAGATCCGCGCGGCGACCGATTCAGCCCAGGGCAAGCCGCCGGGCAAGTTGCTCGCCATGCCCCCGAGGCACCGCCGATAGGAGTGCAATTCCTCAGCGGCCAAGCCCAGGGGGCACCGCCCAAGGCGATACCTGCCGCGGGCGCGGCCATCTCGCGCCCCGCCGCGATTCGGGAGGGCGACGACGGCCGGCAATCCGATGGACAAGGCGCCAGGCGGTAGCCCCATCGTCCAACCCAGCGAGGCGCCGGGTTTCGCGGCTCCAGCAAGCAGCGCAAGGTTGGCCACCCAGGTCATCGCCACAGCCAACAGTGACAGTGACGCAGTCGCAGCAGGTCGGGCACAGTTCTCGGGCACCGGAGCGCCTGGCTGTCCGGCAGGGCCACTGGCCGCTGCGGGGCGCATTGCCGCAGGAGGGCTGGCGCCCGCCACCCCATCCATTGAGACTAAAGGGAGGCAACGTTCCCACTAATGGACTGCGCGGCGCGCGCAGCCCAGCCAGCGACCCACCGGGGCAATTGGCACGCAGGGGCTCTGCGGACAGCCTCGCCACCAGTGCGGCGCCGGCCGCCCCGGCGACCCACCGGGGTCGCAATGCGCCGCCTGGCGTCAGCGTCGACGACGACATCGTTCCTGCGACCCCGACGCGGACAGCCACCCCGCCTTTCTGAAGGGCACGAGCGTCGGCGACAACTCGGAGGCCGCTACGCGGGCCGCTATCGAGACGGAGCGGCGCGCGGGCGTCGCAGCGCCCGCGCGCGAATGCATGTCTGCGCGGCGGCTGCCACCGCCGCCGCCGACGACGACGGCGGCGATGGCCGCCGCCGCCCGTTCCCCGCCGCCCGCGACCTTGCCGCCGCCGCTCTGCGCGCCATCGCTCCGCCCCCCCCCCCCCGGTGCCCTGGAGAAGGTTTGGAGTGTGTTTGGTGGGCATTTTTGCGAGCCCCTCCCTTTTGCCCGATTTCCGGGCCCCCTCTGTCGCGCCGCAGTGCGCGACGGGCCAAAATGTGTTTGCCCCAGTTCCACCGTCAGTCTCACAGCCAGAAGCGGCCCTCCTCCAGCGACGGCGTTGGTCCGCAGAAGGCCCGCGCGATGAGCGCCAACGTCGCCGGCCTCGATGCCGCCTGGAAGGTCCTTGCCAAACTCCGAGAACACAGCGGCGCTAACATCATCGCCCCACAGGGAACTCGCCAGTCCGCTGGCCTTTTCTACGCACTTGACAGGGGCATCCGCTCACCGGAGAATGGAACATGGCCATCAGTCTGGGGGCGCAGCCCCGAGTGCGATCGCGCACGCCGCAGTGGCCGCGGGGCGGGAGCTGACCACGAGGTCCGTTTCACGGTGCCCCGCGCGGCGTTGCCTGCACCGCCGCTTGCCAGGCCATTGTAGAGATTGCCAAGGATGGCCTATCGGCAACCGCCCTCCTCGCGACCGCGCGATGGACTGAAGCCTTCTTCCCCGCCCCTCCATTGGCCCCCGCAGCCGGGCGCAGTGGCGCCGAGCGGTAGAAGAACACCGCCGACGGTGTATATATGTGGCATCGGTTTACGGCAAGTCGGGCTCCGACAACGCGCCCTTGGGGCGATCCTGGATCTCGCGGCTGGCCCTCTGCGCCCTCGCCGCCCCCGGGCGCGCCCTCGAGCTGGGCGCCGGCGCGCAAGGGGGGGGCCCGCTCAGGTGCGGAGGCAGGCGCGGAGAGTTACCAGTTTCAAATCGAAGGCCGAAGAGCTGCGCGACCGCGCGCAGACCTTCCAAGGAGGTGGCCCTGTTGGCAGAGTCTGGCGAACTATTCCACCGCCTACCTGGAGTGGAGCTGACCATCTTGTGGCGCGATGCATGACGACTGGGCTATGCACCTGTCCTAGTTGCAGCCAGCTGGTTCCCCCACATGTTCCGAGCGTCGACAATAAGTCTTTTCTCGGAAGCCCCCCCACCGCCAGACTCGACCTGGGCGCTTTCGCCGCGGTCTAACAAGGCCTCGGCCATTTTGCCGGGACCTGGTCGTAAAGAGCCCAGGGCGAAGCAACACGCACTGCCTGGCAGCCCAGCGCTCTCTGCGACTATTTTTGCGGCTGTGACCACGCCCGGCCGAGGGCAATTCGCGCGGGCATCTCGGCCGATCCACCGCAGCTGCGACGACGGCGCAACCAGGAATAATAATCAATTCAGGAACGCCCACCAGCGTGGGACTTCATCGACGATCTCGACGACCCATGGGGGGGGCCCTTCGACGACTCCGAAGGAGCAGACGAGTACTTTACATCGGGCCAGGAGCGGTCTCGAACAACGATATCAAAACCATGGCAGCTCCTTCAGGACGTCACGATTGCGACGGCCACGGTGCCGACGACGAAAGTGCAGGCCAGCGTCAGCAAAGGCACTCGGGCGCGGTGTCACATGGGGCGGACGTCTACCAGGGCCCCGCCTTCGCAGCCGCACCGCCCAGCCACCAGGTCGCCCCCCTCGAAGCCTTTCCCCGCCCGGGCGCGCGGGCTGGCGACCGCCCGGCAGCCCGCGAGGGAGTGGGCATTGGTGGACGGACGGATCGCAGGCGCGCCCTCGCGCGGCACTTCGCGGCCGCCAGGCAGCAGTCATATCGGCAACGCGAAACGGGTTTCATCGCTGGCATCATGGCATTGCATTTGGGCGCCGCTGAATTTGCGCAGACCCCACGCACCATCTAGGAACAGTCTAGCCCTCTGCTGGACAGATTCCAAAGAACTCAGTCAGCCTGGACAGACCTGCGACAGGCTTCCCGCCCGAGCGCATCTCTAGCGGCCACCTCCAGACGCATCTTGATATTCACCGCTGGCTCACCATTGCTAGCCTCTCTTCTCTCGGGTGCTCTGCGAGAGCACTTGGCAACTGTTCCGCGGCCCGTGCGCTGGGCCGCCGAAGGGGGCGCCCCAGGGCGGCGCCGCGGTTCGCTGAGGTTCCGAGGCGCGCATGCCAACGCGCGCTCGGTGATGGCGCCGTGCACACGGGTGCGCAGACGTGGCGTACCGCGCCCCGTTTGCCTCAGGCTTTTTTTCTGTCATCTATGTCTGTCTCGCGGCACCGTCCACCAGTGGGCGTGATTGGCAGTCGAGCCTCGCTAGGCCTGCACGACCTGCCGTCCGAACTGTCGCGCTCTCCCTCTTCCTGTCCCTTCGGGGCTCTTCCCTTCACCTACCGTCCCGCCTGCTTTTCTCTCTTGCTGCCCACTCTGCGCGCAAATCGCTTGTGCGCGTCGTCTCTCCACCCAAGCGTCGAGCAACATTATCCGTGCGTTTCTTGGTCCTTGTCTGCCTCCGTCGCAATCGTAGACGACAGGCCAATCGTTGCAGATGCAATCCATGGATCCAAGGTCCGGCACGACAGTCAGCAGGGCAAACTTGGATATTGGATTCGGCGCAATAGGACAATTCTGTTTGGAGTGAACAGGATATCAGATGTGCCGCGAGCTCACCTAGCTGGCCCTTTTCCATGTGCTCTCCCTGCTCATATTCCCCCCCTCGCATTCTCTTTCCCATGCCAATCCTATCCAGTTCCCCCTTCCCTCTCATCTGTCTCCTCCCCTTCCAACTCTCTCCCCTTCCGCTTCCCCTCGTTCCCCCCCGGCCCACATATGTCCCTCTGTCCCTCCTGCTCCTGTCTTTTCGCGGTCTTCTGAAGGTCTCAGTGGGCAGGGGCGTTGTGAAAAACACGCACCAGCAGGCGAAGACGTTCTTGGGCCGGCGTCTCAGCCGCGAGCTATGGGCGGGGTTCATGCGGGGGAGTATGTGGCGCCCTTCACCCTGGTTCGCGGGCTCTGCTTTGCCAGTGCCTGCCCCTCCCTTCTCCCCCGGTCACCCGTCCCGCCCATCGCCCCGCTCCCCGTGCTGCGGTTCCTGAGCTGCCGCGCCGCTATGTGCGCGTGCGTGTGTGTGCGTGTGTGTGTGTGTGTGTGTTTGTGTGTGCGCGTGCGTTCGTTTGTGTGGTGCGTGTGCGCTTATCTACGCGACTGTATTATGATCGCGTTTGTTTCTTTCGTTTGGTCGTATCGCGTTGTTGTGGCAAACGCAGTGTTGGTCCACAGCAAGGTGATCTATGATCCAGGGCTCCGCCCCACGCCCCCCAATGCTGATGGGATCGGGCCCCCCCCGGTGAATGGGTACGCCCGTGAGCTTTGCGAAGGCAACGTGAATGGGATCACCCCCTTGTGGTCGTGGCCATGTGGGCGTGGCGTGGTGGTGGGGTCCGGTGCCCTTCCCCTCCCCCTGTGGGTGTGGACCGGTTCGTTGTCGTCGTCGTCTTCGTCGTCAGCGTCGTCGTCGTTTTCGTCGTCGTCTGTCGTCGTGGCCAATCCTATCTGGGGGGGCCTGTGTACCCTCGGCCCGTGATCATCTTTGGTTTTTCTCAACCATCCTGTGGTGTTGGATCTTCGTTTTAAAATAAACGGTCCCCGCGTTCTCCTCCTCCTCCTCCCCCTCCTCCCTCCTCCATCACCATCATCATCATCATCATCATCATCATCATCATCATCATCATCATCATCATCATCATCATCATCATCATCATCATCATCATCATCACCCGTTTCAACACACCCCTCACACGCTTCGTGGCCCCATTGGGAGCCCCACCGAAGGTCCCAGTGCTACCGTCCGCATGCGTCCCGCACACCCAGTACAGCGCTTCGTGGCCCTATAGGGAGCCCCACCGAAAGTCCCAGTGCTACCGTCCGCATGCGTCCCGCACACCCAGTACAGCGCTTCGTGGCCCGATAGGGAGCCCCACCGAAGGTCCCAGTGCCACCCTCCGAATGCGCCCCGAAACATCCAATTTGGCATTTTCACTCACCGAGTACAGCGCTTCGTGGCCTCATAGGGGGCTCCACCGAAGGCACCAGTGCCACCGCCCGCATGCGTCCCGACACATCAAATTTGGAATTTTCGCCCACCCAGTACAACGCTTCGTGGCCCCATAGGGAGTCCCGAAACATCCAATGTTGCATTTTCACAGACCCAGTACAACGTTTCGTGGCCCCATAGGGAGTTCCACCGAAGGCCCCAGTGCCACCGTCCGCATGCGCCCTGGAACACCGAATCCGGCATTTTCACACCCAGTACAGCGTCTCGTGGCCCCATAGGGAGCTCCACCGAAGGTCCCAGTGCCACCGTCCGCATGCGCCCCGACATAATAAATTTCGCATTTTCGCCCACCCAGTACAGCGTCTCGTGGCCCCATAGAGAGCTCCTCCGGAGCCCCCAGCGCCACCGTCCGCACGCGCCCCGAAACATCCAATTTGGAATTTTCACCCACCCAGTACAGCGCTTCGTGGTCCCATGGGGAGCTCCACCGAAGGCCCCAGTGCCACCGCCCGCATGCGTCCCGACATCAAATTTGGAATTTTCGCCCACCCAGTACAACGCTTCGTGGCGCCATAAGAGCTCCACCGAAGGCTCCAGTTCCACCGTCCGCACGCATTGCGAAACATCCAACTTGGCATTTTCACAGACCCAGTACAGCGCTTCGTGGCCCCATAAGGAGCCCCACCGAAGCCCCAGTGCCACCGCCTGCACGCGTCCCGCAACATTCAATTTGGCATTTCCACCCACCCAGTACAGCGATTCGTGGCTCCCGTGGGACCGCCCGCATGCGTCCCACACCCAATTTGGCATTTCCACCCACACATACAGCGCTTCGTGGCCCCGTAGGGAACACCCAGTACAGCGTTTCGTGGCCCCGTAGGGAGCTCCACCGAAGCCCCCAGTGACACCGTCCGCATGCGTCCCACACATTCAATTTGGCATTTTCACCGACCAAGTATAACAATTCGTGGCTCCTTAGCTCCAACGACGGCCCCAGGGCTACCGCCCGCATGCGCCCCCGCTTCCCAGTACAGCGTTTCGTGGCCCCATAGGGAACTCCACCGAAGGTCCCAGCGCTACCGCCCACATGCGCACCCCCCACCCAGTGCAGCGCTTCGGGGCCCCACAGGGCGCTCCACCGACCGCCCCGCTACCGCCCGCATGCGGCGCCCCCACCCAGAACAGCGCTTCGTGGCCCCGTAGGGAACTCCACCGAAGGTCCCAGTGCTACCGCCCGCACGCGCCGGGCGTCGTTATACCACGTCTTTTTCCTTGGGCGTTGCAATGCATATTGCTGCTAAGGAAGGTTTAATGCTATATGGAAAGAAAAACGTGGTTCTTCATTGCTTGGGGCATGACGGGCCTCATGGCTGCCGCCCTCCCCTATGACGTAACGCTCCCCCCCGGTGCGCTCCCGGGCACTGCCGCCGTGCGCGTCGGGATCCCAATAGGTGTCCACATAGGAATCCGCATAGGGATCTGGTCCGCAGTTGTCGTCGTCGTCGTCGTCGTCGTCGTTGTCGTTGTCGTTGTCGTCGTCGTCGTCGTTCGTCGTTGTCCTTCGTCTCTTGTCGCTCGTCGCCCATCGTCGTCGTGCGCGCGGACGCGGCTGGAGCCTGTTTTTTTTCATTCCAGGCCGCTGACGGCAATCATTTAGGGGTGTGTGGGGTGGAGGGGGCCGATGACGTCACGTTTCGCGCCGGCGGCGTCTGGGAATGCTTAGGAATGACCGAAGACGGGTAGCAGCAGCATGTAGTTGGCGATCTGCACCACAGCGCCTGTGCACACAACGCTTGTGTACATCAGATGGAACACTGATTGAACAGAGGTTGGAACGAACATCAAACACGACACTGGTATTCTCTTCGTCAGGCCAAACGAAATGATGATGGCACCATCATTCGCCCAGAGAAGGGACAGACCAAATCGCAGGGAAAGATGGTCGTGCGCGATCTCAAACGGGCCATCATCGAGGACCGAAAGATCTACAGAGGCGTTTGTTGTACATGCCCCAGCTATGCTGATCACAGGCTGGGCTGCCCCATGAGACGCCCATCACGGAACCCTAATTTCAAAAGAACACCGTGGGCTTGGTCTCATGGAGTTTGTCGGGGTCGCTGCACTGACCCTGACAAAACGCCATGCGACGAGCAGCTGACGGAAAAATATTACGACCCCGCCTCTCGGGCAGAGATAGCTCAGACAGAGGCTATTTGGCATAACTTGATACCTACTCACTATCTGGCGCAGTACAATCGCGAGTGGCATGCAGGGAAACCTGCCGATCATAAACCAGAAGAAGAAAGCCAACAATAAGCTGATGAAGATGAAGATGCTGACATGGCTGAAGAAGTTGATCCTACGGACGCTGGCCTTGACGACGGTGAGTCAGGTGATTCGGGCATTACGGACGTCACGTGTGAATCGGATGCTCCGATCAACCCCGATTACGTTGTCACCAGAGACATGGACCTCTCTCCTGGCAGGCAGATTGCTTACCGTGCTCAAGGCGCGGGCTGGATCATTACATGCACAGCTGAAAGGCGCGACGCAGATAAGTACTTACTTGCAGTGAACAAGAACGTACATATTACGAATATGGCTCTCAGGAGGCCAGGCGGTGACGATCTGAATCCTGACCGAGGTCCCATAAAACGTTGTATACGATATGTACCTGGGACGCCGGCAGGAGCTACGGCAAAGGCAACTCCCAAGCCGAAGCCAGAGACGATCGATCTTCCCTCGTCCTCTGATCCCGATTCATCAAGTCCATCTTGGTCCTGATCATCCTAAGCCCAAGAAGAAGCGGAAGAGTCCAGATGATCCTAATCTTGGGGACAGCAAGAGATATGCGGGGCAACTTGCTGAGCAACGCGCTGATCGACAACGATCTAGAGGGCCAGCAGCGGCCGCCGCAGCAGCTAGATTCCAGGGCACCAGCACGCCTACCCCAAAGGAGCGTGTGCCGCGTCGTGGCCCTACACCAGGTCGGGCGCACAGGACAGGATGGGCGCCTAATTTGGAAGGAAGAACATGGGGGGCCTCTTCCACGCAGCGAACTGGGAAGCTCCTTGCTACCACACCAAAGGTGCCAGGAGCAGCGCCCAAAGACAAGGCTGCCGAGTCTTACAACACCAAGGAGAAGAAGCACCAGGACTTCGATATCAGTACCCCGCAAGGAACTCCAAGGACGCCTAGAGGATCTGCTGGTGCTACCGCATCGGCGGCGAGCGCAGCAGCGTCTGCGGCGCCAGCGCCAGGGGCTGCCCCACATTCTGCGGGGCAACCTGCTAAGAGATCTGCGGGGCAACCTGCTCGCAGTCCAGCGGGGCTACCTGCCCCTGAGTTGGAGGTGCCACCAGAATGCAAAGAATACTGGGGCAGACCGCGCACTGGCAACCGCGCGAAGATCAATCCAGCGTATCATCCGCGGAATGATGATGGATCTGATCGATACATGGTGGTCAATACAACATCATGGACGCTGCTGGCCATTCTGATGAAGGTGCACGCATGCGCCACATAGTGCGCAAACATCCTGCGGAAGCGCCCTGCACTCACGTTGGCTTCAGAAAAGGAATATTTGGAGACTATCCTCAGGTCGGACAATGTTCGCAGGCCGAGGTTCAAATGCGAAGACCAGCGTCCGGTGTCTGAGTGGCTGACAACAGCCCCCGTCACGATCCATTTCACAATGGCCACTTGTCAGACAGATTCATTCGCGAGGTTACGACATATGACGACTGCGACGGTCGGGCAGACTTATCGCAGCTACTCAATGCATGGCCCGCAGAAGGATGCGAAGGGCATCGCCCCGAACACCTGGACGCGGTGCGCCACCTGCTCAAGGACCATCACTGGGCGTGCCAGGCCTACGCTG